TGCTTGCGAGGCGTCTGGCGATGCTGGCGGATGGCAGCCCGCCAGCCTCTCCCGGTCGCGGGATGCCCGGCCCGGCGAGCGTGCAGCCTGTTGACTTTGGGCCTCATCGCTCAGTGAAGCTACGGACTTTGAATGAGGAAGACCCGTCCCGGGCCCCAGGGACGCCACCCCAGGCTGCTTCTGACGCAGCTGTCACCCGGTGCCCTCGGGGCGTCCAGAGAAGGGGAGAGAACTTAAAGGCAGCGGAGCACCCGAGCTGCAAAGTCGGGGAGAAGGACCGCCCGCCCGGAGGCCCGAGGGCGGGTCCCACGATCCAGGGCGGCCTTCAGACAGGGCTGTGCTGCTCCGTGTCCCCGGGGCCCCTGCTGATCTCTGACCGTGGACATAGGGCAGTGAGACCCAGGCACCTGCCCAGGTGCAAACGGGTGTGATGGGGGAAAGTCTGCTCTGAGCGCATCGTGGGAGGCCCGGCCGGCATCCAGCCTCCCCGCCCTGTAGGCCCAGGTGGGGGTGGGGGGTGTCAGCCTTACTGCCTCTGTGCCCCCCGGGGGGGGGGCGTTCATTTGTGGGGTCTGTGACTGGCACCCCGTGAAATGCCGGGGGAAGGGTGCCCTCTGGTGTTGTGCAGAGTTGTGGCTCTGTGGCAGAGTGACCACTGCACGCCGTGGGCGGTCCTGTCCCCTGCGAATCTGCCCCGCGTGGTGTGTGCTGGTGGTAAACCTTTCCATAGGACAGAGAGGCAGAGTGCTTGACGTGGTGTGGGCGTGACCAAGACCCAGTCCAGGGTTCCTGCTGGACCCCAGCTGTCTGTTACCCGACTTGGTGGCAGTCCGTCCGCTGTGCGTGGAGCCGTAGGCAGCCCGGATGCACCGCTGAGCAAGGGGCTGGGAGGTGGATGTGTTATCTGGCGGTCAGCTAGCCACCACCGTCCAGCATTCAGGATGGCACGGACCTGGGAATCAGAGAAAGTGTTTGGCAGCGAATAAAAATCCGAGGAGAAAACAGGCCTGGAAATCCGAAGGGTGTGTGGGACTTAGGTGCCTGGTGGAGTCGAAGTGCTCTGGTTGGCAGATGTGACTACTGAGAGCCTAGTGCTGAGAAGGGTGACCAGCGACAGGAACAGGAAAAGCAGCTGGAGAAAGAATGGGGTGAGGGAGGGTGGAGGGGGAGCCGTGCGGGTCGGTGGCAGGCAGGTCCCGGCCCCAGGACCTCGCTGCTCACATGCGGCCCAGCCTGCTCTTTTTAAAAGGACAGGAGAGAGCGCCATCCAACCAGTCAGAATAAAAAGTTTCCAGTTCTTAAAGATTTACACTCACGCTTCCTGCACACTCCATTCCTTATCTGACAGGGCCTGGGAAGTGAGATGCCCGGAGGAGAGGGCGGAGGGCGAGTCCCACTCAGTTGTTAGCTCTCGGAACTTCCTGTTGGGTTGCTGACTGCGTGTAGCTGAGATTTCTCAGGTCCCATTGGTTGCTTTGCTCTTACTGTAGCATTTCTCTGCAGACTTAAATAAGGTAGGCGTTTTGTGTGGGTCTCGCTTGGTATTTACCACCCAGTTTTAAAGAGTGCACTTTACATGTCTCTGTCATCCTGGGACATTTAAGTGTGGAGCGTATCAATTCGACTCCCTTCTGGCAGCAGCGAAGGGGTGGGTGGCGCGGTGGAACCCCGCTGTGGTTTCTGGGTCCCAGGCTTCCTCCGTGGCCCGGTGCGGGGGGAACACCGGGCCTGGGTCAGTATCCTGGCCCTGCAACCATAGAGTTATTTGGGATTGTGTCTCTTAGAATAGGTTTGTTTTTTCTGAACCACAGTGATCTCTAGAACTAATGAGAGAGAGCAGTGTTGTTCACTTGTACTAGGTGCAGTGGTGAGCATGTTGTTACATCACTTCATGCCGTCCTCACAGCCACCCTCCACATGAGGAAGCTTTTCTTATCCCCATTTGACAGATGAGGGAACTGAGGTGCAGAGAAGTCAGGGAGTCAAGTTCACAGCTAGTAAGGGGCAGGGCTGAGCCTGAAGCCCGGGCGTCAGCTCCAGAGCCCACCCCTGACATGTTATCCTCTGTTGCCGCTCAGTTAACAGCGGCAGTGACTGAGCGAGGGCTTTCATGTCGTAACTCGTTCATTTGCCACAGCAACCCTAGGCGACAGGCTCCCTTAGCGTCCTCCCTTTTACAATCTGGGGACCAGAGAACGAAGGGAGTGCCCCAGGTTACGCTGCTGGTCAGTGGTGAAGGCCCTCCAGCCCAGGCAGCTGGCCTCCAGATCCCAGTTCTTAACCACTGGGCTGCACCGCCCGGGGCCCGGCGTTGACCAGTGTGCGGCCTGCTTCCTTGATCTGTTTGCCCTGACAAGGGTATTTGTGGCCTAACCAGCACGCTCCTGGGCGAGAGACACTGGGTTTGCAGCCTAGGAGGCATACGTGTGAATTCATGGTTTGCTCATTCAAATACATTTTGAGGTTGTTGGGCCTTGGCTACTTGCATAATGGCTTTTCTGAGCAGCTAAAGATAAATTATTTGTAATATATTCAAGTTGGTTAATTGAAATGTCAGAGTTCTTGTTCTGTTCCTCCCCTCAGAGTTTCTTCTCGAAACCCAATAAATGGCAGGTTTTAAAAGGAAAGACTGTGGTGAGGAGGCCAAGGAGGGAGATGTGGGCCCCCTTTCCGCTCCTGACTGCGTGGGTTCAAATCCCACCTCCATCGCCTGCTGCCTGGGTCCTCGGCAGGCGATCGCTCCCGAGCCTCTGTGTCCCTGTCTGGAAAAATGGGCTGATCAGACCTGCTTCACAGGGGGGCGCCTGCCTGGTACCCAGGAGGTGCCTAGGGAATGCCAGCTGCTCCTGCCCTTTCCTTCCGTTGGTCGGGTTCTGAGCTCGAGGGGCAAGGTTTTACACCGGGTCTCAGGGATATTGGTAGGATGAAAAAAGAAAAAGTGTGTGTGTGGGTGGGGAAGCACAGCTACTACTACTTCTAACATGATTGAATTCTATGCCCCCTACACTGTTCTGAGCGCTTCATTATTTCATTCATGCCCCCAGCAGACCTCTGGGTATTGTTTTTCTCTGATTATAGAAAAGGACACTGAGGCCCGGGATTTTAACCCAGCACCCAGCCAGTGCTTTGGGCCACAGAAGAAATTATTTGTATACAGATTACAAGAAGAAATAAAATGGGAGGGGACCGAGAATGAAAGCCCCTGTCCACTGCCCAGATTCTAATGTTTAATTCTTAAGTAGGAACTCCGTGAGACAGGATAAAATGAGTAACTAGAAAACGCTCGGCCTCCTGGCCCTGCTGCGTGCTGGTTGTCCCCTGGCGTTTGTGAAAGGCAGGGCTGTGGGTGCTGGTGCGCCCTCCTATCTCCCCACAGAGCCCAAGGACCAACCGGGAGGTGTTTTCTCCCATCCTCTGCTCACTCAGGTTCTCTCCATTTGTGGTCATTCTGCTGCAGGCCCATGAGGAGGCTCATGGTGTGCTCGCCTGCCCACTTCTTAGTGCTGTTTGATGAACTCTTAAGGGCCCGCGTGGGAGGGAGAAGTGCTTAGAGGGAACACTAATGTTGGCTCTGGGGCACTCAGCCATTCACCTGGGCCCTAGCTGTCCAGCTGCAGGAGAGGGAGGGGGCACGTGTGACAGGGTATGTGGCCTGGAAGGCACGTGCTTGGAGCTGTAGTGGCCAGATGACAACATTGGGAGAAAAGAGTTAAACTTTGCAGTTCAGTGGTTGATAATTGATCATAGCAGGAAAAATAATAGAACGTAGGAGAGCAGAGTAAAACCAGGGAAGAGCATAGAAATGGAAGGAGTCAATAGTTATTGAACGCCTGCCATTCGTAAGGCACAGCTTCTGGCCCCAAAAGGCCACAGGGAGCTCCCCGTCAGAGAGGCGTGAAAGCGTGTGAATGGTTGTCACCCAAGATGGAATCCAACCACGGGTGGGTGCCCCTTCCTGCAGCCCAGGAGCCATTTGCTCTCCCAGTGGTGGGAGGTGGGACCTCGGCTGGGCTGGGAAGGGTGGGTGGGTGCGGGCTGGAGGGAGGGGTGACGGGAGGAGGAATGGCACTGCGTGGTGACGGGTGGTTGGCGCCTGCCTCACGTTCCGGAAGGGCAGCTCCAGGGCCTTCAACCAGGGGGTTCCCATGCCTGTACGACTTAGTAGCTTGAGTTTCATTTTAGTTTTGTTTTATTATCTGGGTGTGTGTATCAGTAGGGAGCATTTGATGCTAATAGGATATGTCACGAAAAGTGGCTTACACAACAGGGGTATCCAGGAATTGAGCCGGGCACCTCTGGGGTTGACTGGGTGGCTCCGTTCCCTGGTGACCGGGATGGTTTCCGCCTCTGGGCTCTCCACCCTCCTGCGTGCAGTGTGGCTGCAGCCACTGGGCAGCGCTCAGTGCACAGTCAGGTCCAGGAGGCGAGGAGGCTTCCGTGCCCTCCAGCTCTGCACTGGGAGGGGAGCCTTTTCTTGCAGCGCCTGGTGGATTTCCTGCAGGGTCTGAGCCCTGGTGGGGATGAAGGCTGGGGAGGCGGGAGTCTGGCACTTTCAGCCTCTGTGATGGGAGGCTGGTCTCGCTGGCAGGGGACTGGGTGGCAGGGGG